TAAGTGGTCTGGTCTGCATTTATTTATTGCCTTAATCCTTAAAGTATGCTCATTTTTTAAAAATAGTGATGATTTTTCACAATATTCTTGTGCTGTGAGGCATTCCATTTTATTGACATACATTCATACATAAATTTATCTTCTACTTTTTAGCATGGGACCTAATTTATAAATCTTTCCTATTGCCTATGAAAATTTCTAAGACATGCCAACTATATTTTTAAAGTTTACATTGATTTCCATTGCATATGTGGAAATGTATTGATGCTGCATTAGAGATGATGACTGATGACACTTCTAGATTTCAGTTGCCAGCTAAATATCGTGTGTCATATGTACAACAATATTGTAAACACTTTGAAAGTGGAGAAATTTACAACAATATTATAAACACTTTGAAAGTGGAGCTTATTTTCTTTAAAAGCAGAAACCGTGGATGGAAGTGTATGGATTTTTTTTTTTTAAGACAGGGTCTCACTCTGTTGCCCAGACTGGAGTTCAGTGGTGCAATCATAGCTCACTGCGTCCTCAACCTCCTAGGTTCAAGTGATCCTCCTGCCTCACCCTCCCAAGTAGCTGAGACCACAGGCATGCATCATCATGCCCAGCTAATTTTTTATTTTTTCGTAGAGACAGGGTCTTACTTGTTATCCAGGCTGGTCTCAAACTCCTGGGCTCAAACAATCCTCTTACTTTAGTCCCCCAAAGTGTGATTACAGGCATGAGCCAGCTCTTGTGCTTGGCTCGAGTTCTTCTTAATTAGGAACAATTCTGTTGTTCAACAGAGCAGATATTTTTAGGAATGAAAATGTTAAAAAAGTTAAGATTCATCTCAGACTTTATGAAGTAGTTGAAAATTGCAACTTTTTTCCTATTCCTTGTTTTTCCCTTTTTTGGAGACAAAGCCTTGCTCCGTTGCCCAAAGCTGAAATGCAATGGCATGATGATAGCTCACTATAACCTCCAATTGCTGAGCTCAAATAATCCTCCCATCTCAGCCTTCTGAATAGCTGAAACTATAGGTGCCCACCACCATGTATGGCTTTTTTTTTTTTTTTTTTTTTTTTGGCTGGACAGGTTCTCACTATGTTGCCCAGGCTGATCTCAATTCCTGGCTTCACATGATCCCCCACCTTGTTCTCCCAAAGTATTGGTATTACAAGCATGAGCTACTGTGCCTGGCCAAAAATCACATCTTTATCCCTTATTATTGTAAGACACAGTTGTCACTAGTTCTGACTAAACTATTAATGCCACATGCCTACCCAAGACACTTCAAGGATAGAATACAATAATGTTTTAAAAAGACCCATGACATACTGACTCTTCTTAAACAGAATATGCCTTAATACCGATTACATATCTACATGATTTTTCTTTCATTACAGTTTATTGCCATTTTAGTTTGAAAATTACTATTTAAATGATAATCTTTTCAAAGATTCAAAGTATATTTACTTTCATCAGGCACTAGCTTAAGTTCTCGAGTCAGTGAATAGCACATTTAAAAAAAGAGTAGGTATTAATAAAACAGTCCTTGCTATGATAAATCATATTGTTTACTAAAGATAAAACATACATGAATCATACTGAGATAAGTGAGATTAGTAACAAACACATTTGTGATCAATTTCAATGGAGATCAGTAAAGTCTTTATAGCTTTGATATGCAGGGTAACAAACACAGATGTGATCAGTTTCAATGGAGATCAGTAAAGTCTTTATAGCTTTGATATGCAGGGTAACAAACACAGATGTGATCAGTTTCAATGGAGATCAGTAAAGTCAAATAGCTTTGATATGCAGGGTAACAAACACAGATGTGATCAATTTCAATTGCTATCAGTAAAGTCTTTATAGCAGGCAACAACACAAGTTGTTACAGGTTACTCAAACTGAGTAAGTGAGTGCTCCCAGGGAAACAACACAAGCTGTGACAAGTTACTCAAACTGTGTAAGTGAGTGCTCCCAGGGTGAATGAAGAGAACAACACAAGCAAAGGCACAGAAATTTGAAGTATCATTTGCCTTGTGGGAACATTAAGAGTGCTGGTAGGGATCATCAGGGAATGGTGGGATAATCTCACTTATCTCAGTATGATTCATCTGTATTTTATCTTTAGTAAACAATATGCTTTATCATAGCAAGGACTGTTTTATTAATACCTACTCTTTTTTAAAATGTACTATTCACTTACTCGAGAACTTAAGCTAGTGCCTGATGAAAGTAAATATACCTTGAAACTTTGAAAAGGTAGTGATTTGAATGGTCGTTTTCAAACTAAAATGGCAAAAAAACTGTAATGGTGGGAGTAAGGAAAGAGTAGTGGGAGCAAAGGCTAGGAAGGATGGAAGAGGCCAGATAACTTGGATCCTGGAACCTTGGGTAAGCATATGGCACCACACAAAGGAGGTTGAGCTCATAAGACTTTATATTGTCTATTATATGTTTCAATATTTTGAAAACTACTTTTAAAATTGGAACCCCATTTTCTAAGAAACATCATGTGGAAATCCAATATTTAAAAATATATATAGGCTCTGATTTTCTTTTTTGAAGATTAGTGATGTCGAGCAGCAATTTTTCATATACTCATTGGCCACTTACAAGTCTTCTTTACAGAAATGCATGTATTCGGATCCTCTGCCTATTTTTAAGTTGGACTATGTGGAGTCCTTCTTTTTGCTATTTAGTTTTCTCATATATTCTGGTTATTAATCTTTCATCAATTAAATTATCACCAGAGTTAAAATGGCTTTTACCAGGGACATGCAAATGAAAACCACAATGAGATATCATTTTAACCCAGTTAGAATGACTGTTATTACAATGAAAGAAAAAAACAAATATTGGTGATGTGGAGACAGGGGAATGCTCATACATTGTTGGTTGGAACAACCACTATGGCAAACAGCATGGAGGTTGCTCAAAAAAGTAAAATTAGAAGTACCATATGATCCATTGCTGAGCATATATCCAAAAGAAAGGAAATCAATATATCAAACAGGTATTTACACTCCCATGTTTATTCCAGCACTATTCACATTAGCCAGGATATGGAATCAACCTATGTGTCTATCAACAAATGAATGGGTACAGAAAATGTGGTACATATACACAATGAACTATTATTCAGCCATGAAAAAGAATGGAAATCCTGTCATTTAAAACAACATGGATGGAACTGAAGGGCATTGCATTAAGTGAAATAAGCCAGGCACAGAAAGACAAATATCACATGTTCTCACTCATATGTCAGGGGCTAAAATAAATTCATCTTACAAAAGTAGTGAGTAGAATGAAACTCAGAAAGGCAGTGGGAAGGGGAGATAAAGAGAAGCTGGTTAATAGGTACAAAATTACAGTGAGATAGTAGAAATAAGATCTAGAGTTTAGCAGCACAATGGGGAGACTGTGGTTAACAATAATTCCTTGTGTATTTGAAAATAACTAGTGGAGTAGATATGGATTATTCCCAACACAAAGAAAAGATCAGTGATTGAGGTGGTGAATCTCCCAATTACCCTGATTTGATCATTACACATTATATGTGTATATTAAAATGTGACATGTGGCCTATAAATATACACAACTTGAAGATCTATTTTAAATGCTTATCACATTAATAAGTACATACACTCATCCAAAAAGCAGGCACTTGCTTTTTGAATGTTGAGGATAGCATTGTCCATTCAGCCCTTAGCCACCAGAATAAAAGCTTTTATTCTTAGTTCTTTAGAAAATACGAAGAAGTGCCAGCACTGAGGAGAATGTGACAGGATGAGGAAACAGTTATTAACAATACTTATCTCTATCCCCACCTAGAAGAGACCTGCTTTCGTTTTACAGGATCCTGAGAATGAGGTTGGGTGGGTGTGATGGGTAGTGAAACCTGCTAGGAGATTTATTACCGTTTTGAACTCTACAGTTTATGCTTTGCTTACATTATTTAAGCTTAGCATTAAAGTTGATGCTGGTAACAATATTGCAGTTTGTTAGATACTGAGTGATAAAGGAAAGGAGGAAAGAAAGAAAAAGGAAAAAACGCTATTTAGATTGGGAATAAAGTGTTTGGGAAAGAAAAACATTAAGAATCCTTATGTCTAATGAGGATTTTGCTGAAATTTCTGATGTGCAGTGTGTGATATGGTATCTTCTTCCTCTCTCTGCAAAATCTTCAGTAAACCATCCATTTCTTATTACTACTTGATGGAGTTTCACATGTTTTATGGGAGACTTTACAAAGTGCTGGAGACAACTTCCATGTGAGTGAAGAGCCAAGGTGGAGGCTGGTCTAGAAGCCTCCACAAGTGAGTCTCATAAGCATAAATGGTTTACAGTTTACCCTGAAACTCACCTCTCTCCCATATTAACTTAGAAGACAGGTATTACCTTAAGTCACTGGTAAAACTGTGATGGCTGATTGTGTTATCAACTGGGGTTGTAATGGTATCTGATTCTCAACATTCCCTACTACATAGACAACAAGTCATAGCTGGTTTCATCCCCCCCAGCCTGTCTGGGTACAAATATTAGACGGATATCTTGAGCCGGGGATGGTGGTGTGTGCCTGGAGTCCCAGCTGCTTGGGAGTCTGAGGTAGGAGGATCACTTGAGGCTAGGGGTCCCAGGGTGCAGTGAGCTATGATCACATCTGTGAATAGGCACTGCATATTCCAGCCTGGGTAACACAGTGACTCCCCCACCCCCGCTGTGTGTGTGTGTGCACGTGTGTGTGTGTGTTTGAACAACCATCACTGACCAGAAGTCATTTTGAACATTGGTGCACTCGTTCCTCTTCGGGACCTATAAAATTGACCTGCATCAAGAATAATAACTCTTAGAGATATAGGTTCATATTTCTTCTAACCAGAAAAGTTCCAGATACTTAATGTATTCTGTGTTCAGAGATATAGATCCAAGACAAATGATGAAGCAGTCATATAAGTGGAGGGAGTGGTCGGGGAGGCATAGCTCACCTGCTGGGACCTCACTTCAGAGGTCCCAAAGAGAGTCATGTGCCAATATCACAAGAAGGTTTGAGGCTGGCACATTTCATTTATGTGTGTGAACACCCAATCATCACGCTCATGAACTACAAAAGGATCAGGGGCAAGGTTTTAAGGCTTGTTATTTTGTGTTTGACAGGTACATAAAAAGGAGAGCCAACCCACATGTCTGAAGGAGAAAGAACAAGTCAACTACTGTTATGTGAGGTTGACATAGTGGTTAAGAACCCAGACTCGAAGGCAAAGCTGTTCAAACATGAATGAATGCACACATCATCTGGAAATCTCGCAACAATTTACATAATGATTAAGTCTAGGAGCACAGGGTGTGTATTTCTGTAGAATCCATTCTACTCTGAGTAGCAAAATTCTAGAGTCAGATTATCTGGGTTCACATCCCGGTTCTGGGCTTCACTGAGCTGGGGACTTTGAATAATTTAACATCTATAGATCTCAGTTCTCCATCTGTAAAATTGAAATAATAATATTACTGACATCCATGGGTTTTTATAAGAATTAGTAGAATTAATATAGAGTAGCACTGAGAAGAGTGTCTGGCACATGGTGGATACTCAATAAATATTTGCTGAATGAATTTCCTAGCAGTAAAAGGGTGTGTGCTTTTGAACTCAATGCTTTTATGTCTCACCAAAGAATTTATTTGTCATTCAGCTTCTAACTTGGTACCATTGGTTGTTTTTGAGTTAACTCTGTGGAGTACTAATTAGGATTTTAAAAAAACAAGATGAAAATCTTCTGCAGAAGGTAATGAGTCCTAATTTCTCCTCCACCTAAGAACAGGGAATGATCAAATTTATATTTAAGAAAATCACTCATAGAAGAAGAGAGATGGAGAGAAGGAATTGGACAAGACCAGGGGTGGAAAGAAAAGTTTACAGAGTAAGGCCAGAGAAGAGATTTAAAACCACCTGAGATTAAGACAGTGGAGGCAGTTGGGAAGTGGAAAACAATGTAGGCACAATTAAGGAGGCTGATTTCTCAAGATTTGGCAAGTCAGGGCATCACATAGTGGGCACAGCTCTGTTCAGGGAGAAGTGTAAGGATGTTTCCCAGTTTTCTAACTTTGGTAAGGAGATAAAACTTGGGGAACATTTGCAGAGATGAGAATAAAGGAGCAGAAATAAGTAAGAATAAAAGCGATGGATAAAATTAGAAGGGAATAAGATGGTGTAAGACTAATTTGGGGTATGTTAAAAGTGGCTGTGGGGATAAATACCTATAGGCAATTAGAAATGCAATATGGAGCTGAGGAGTCTTTACATGCTGGCCATAAGAATTTGTAAGTCATTGGGGTTTGTGTATTAAGGCCCTGGAAATAAATGAGTCATTCCAGGAGAGTATTAGCTGTAAGAAAAATTGGATACAAATTGAAGACCATAAAGAAGACTTAGAAAGAACAATGGAAGAGGTAGGAATAATGCCAAGAGACAGGGATGGCAGAAGGCTCGGGAGGAGAGTGCTTCAGCAATGAGGGAATGGTCAGCAGGGCCAAATTCCGCAACACATCTCTGCTCCTGGAAACCAGTCCTTCCACTGTGACTCATTGAATCTGAATCTGTCAACACCACATCGTTATTTTAATCCCTCGGGGACAAAGCCTAGTATCTTGGTTTGACTCATCCTGCTTCCTCATTCTTTATATTTAAGACACTAAAATTTCTTTTCCATTTTTTGATATCCATCCTTTTCTCTCTAGGCCCAATTTTACATGCTAGTCCAAATACTCCTAGATAATACAAAAACTTTCTGTACTGTATGTTACAGCTAGGCTCAAATTCCTGAAACACCATTTTTTTTTCATTATGTCATGTTTATTCTCTTCAAAACTTCTCTCTCTCTCTGTATATGTCTATATATATATATATATATATTTTTTTTTTTTAGATGGAATCTCACTCTGTTGCCCAGGCTGGAGTGCAGTGGTGCAATCTTGGCTCACTGCAACCTTCGCCTCCCAGGTTCAAGCGATTCCTGTGCCTCAGCCTCTGGAGTAGTTGGGATTATAGACCTGTGTCACATGCCCAGCTATTTTTTGTATTTTTGGTAGAGATAAAGTTTCACCATGTTGGCCAGGCTGGTCTTGAACTCCTGACCTCAAGTGATCCACCTGCCTTGGCCTCCCAAAGTGTTGGGATTACAGGCTGGAGCCACCACACCCAGCCAAATCTGTATATATTTTATAATTCCAACTTTTACTTTAGATTAAAGTGGTACATGTCCAGTTTGTTACATAGGTATTTTCTGTGATGCTGAGGTTTGGAGTATGAACGATGCGATCATCTGCATAGTAAGAATAGTACCAGTAGGTAGTTTTTCAGCCCTTTTCTCCCCACCAGTCCCTCTTCTAGTAGTCGCCAGTGCCCATTATTCACATCTTTATGTCCATGTGTACCCAGTGTTTAGCTACTATTTATTATAAATCAGAACATGTGGTATATAGTGTTCAATTACTGTGTTAATTTGCTTAGGATGATGGCCTCCAGCTGCATTCATGTTGCTGCAAAGGACATGATTTCATTCTTTTTAATGGCTGCATAGTATTCTATAGTTTATATGTGCCACATTTTTTTTATCCAGTCTGTCATTGTTGGGCATGTAGGTTGATTCCATGTCTTTTCTATTAAACTTCATAATATTTTTTTTTTTTTTTTTTTTTTTTTGAGACGGAGTTTTTTTGCTCTTGTTACCCAGGCTGGAGTGCAATGGCGCGATCTCGGCTCACCGCAACCTCCGCCTCCTGGGTTCAGGCAATTCTCCTGCCTCAGCCTCCCAAGTAGCTGGGATTACAGGCACACACCACCGTGCCCAGCTAATTTTTTGTATTTTTAGTAGAGACGGGGTTTCACCATGTTGACCAGGATGGTCTCGATCTCTCGACCTCGTGATCCACCAGTCTCGGCCTCCCAAAGTGCTGGGATTACAGGCTTGAGCCACCGTGCCCGGCCCATAATATTTTTTTTAACTTGGAATATTTGTTTTGTTTTGGAACATAAACATCTATTTATTATCTAAGTAATATCCATGCATTTGACTATTAAGGAATGCCTAAGAATAATAAATGCCAAATATAGGATAAGAATTATCTCTGGTAAGGGAGAAATTATTTATGATTATGGAACAAAACACAGGAGATTTCAGCTGCATTAATAGTGTTTACTTCCTAAGCTGGGTGTATTAGTCTGTTCTCATGCTGCTGCTAAAGACATACCTAAGACTGGGCAATTTGAAAAAAGAAAGAAGTGTATTGGGCTTACAGTTCCACGTGTGTGGGGAGGCCTCACAATCATGGAGGAAGATGAAAGCCACGTCTCACATGGCAGCAGACAAGAGAAGAGAGCTTGTGCAGGGAAACTCCCCTTTTTTTTTAAACCATCATATCTTGTGAGACTTATTCACTATCCCAAGAACAGCACAGGAAAGACCCACCCCATGATTCAGTCATCTCCCACAACACCTGGGAATTCAAGACGAGATTTGGGTGGGGACACAGGAAAACTATATCACTGGGAAACAGGACCATAGGTTTAAGTTTCTGGATATTTAGATAATATAAAAACTACGGTATTTTAGAAACACTTTAAAATGACAGCACCCTAAAATGTAAGTTTGATGTCTTTTAAATATGGGACCCTGATCCCCTGTCTCATCTTATTTTCTACAATTTCCTGTAGTATTCTCTTCTGGGTTTTTCTTTTTAATGTTGTTCAAAAAAGTCTTCATGAAGTGTATTGGCTTGCCTTCCTTCCATCACAGTGTCCCTCTGCCAGGAATGTGCCTCCACTCAGTCAAAAACCTTTGCAGTCCTTTATGATCAGAAGCCTCTGCTGCTAACGTTTATTGGATATGTTATCTCAGTCCTCTGAAATCTGATGAGAGAGAGAGAGATAGAGAGTGAGAAAGTGGGAGTGTGTGTGTTTGTGAGACATTTTTATCTATCATTTTCAAAGCTATTTGTGAGATTTTTCTTTCACAGATATAGTAGTCTGATTATGTCTTAAAGGCCTGAGCCACCTCTCCTTAGCCCTCTCTGTAACAGCACAGAATCACATATATAAATGAGAGTTATGGGCATGGGTATATATGAATATGAGCTTAAATACCAGTTATAGTCTGTGAAAGTAGGAAAAGCTAATAATCCTAAGAAACTGCTATAATATTCCTCTGCTATTATAATATACAAAAAAGTCCATTTAGCAGTAACTTGACCTCCAGTATTTCAGTGTCAGGAGTATTTCGAAACAAGTAACCTAAATACTCAAACATGAACAGCTGAACTGAAATTGACACTGACTGAAGTGAAGCTAAATACTGAGTGCAAGGAAGCAAGGCCATAAATAAGCACTCTTAGTTACAATGTTTGACAGCTTATCCTTAGTCCCAGAAAGTATCAAGGCAGCAGTAGCTAAGTGTCAAGGGTACAGTGTGAAAAATATAGGGCATTTAGTAAAAAAAAATCACCATACAGGATGTTAAAAAATTGGCCAAGATATTATACAAATAGTGGGGAAAATGTAGAATCTCTTTTTAATTTTTCTAATTAAATTCTAATTGTATATGACTGGTATGTTACATTGCTCAGTAATGGCCAAATGGTATCTTGAATGGCTAAAGTTGTTTTATCTATGATAGTCATGTTAAAATCACATGCTTCTGTTTGCAATAATCTTGAAAACGAGAATTAGATGGTTATTGACATAATTGGCATCCCATCAGGAAAGAGAATGTGTGTTTAAACCAGTAGTTAAATGAATAGATATGGTAGACAACTTTTAATGTTTCTTCTAGTTCTTAGATTCTTTATTCCTATTGACCTGTCTTCAAGTCCACTGATCCTTTCCATGGCCACGTCAAGGGTATTGATGAGTGCATAACTCATTATTCATCATGTCTGCTTACAGTGTTTTTGATTTCTTGTATTTCCTTTTGATTTTTTCTTCGCTTTTCTATCTCTGTGTACATTAGTCATCTATTTTTGCATGTTGTCTACTTTTTCCATTAGTACCTCTTAATACATTAATCATAATTATTCAAAATTCCCTATCTGATGATTCAAAAATCTGTGTCATATCTGGGTCTG